TTTATTATATATCTCTATCTGAACTGATTTCACGGAAACTTGCCAGAGATAATTTTTATTACTTCAGTAAGTTGTGATAATCGGCCTAGCAACATCATTCTAGACTTAATTCAGTACCCTATACCAAAATTCGTGCAAATCGAAAGATATATGGGACTTTGAGCACCAATTACAAAAAATCGGACGAAAATGTATATGGGAGCTACATCTAAATCTGAACCCATTTTCACGAAACTCTGCACACATCATTCCAGACTTAATTCAGTACTCTATGCCAAATTTCATGCAAATCGAAAGATAATTAGGGACTTTGGTAGACCATTTACCTTAAATCGGGCGAAACTATATATGGGAGCTATATCTAAATCTGAACTGATTTTCACGAAACTTTACACACATCATTCTAGACCTTATTCATTACGCTGTGCCAATTTTCGTGCAAATCGAAAGATATATAGGGACTTTAGTGGACTATTTACCTAAAATCGGCCTAAACTATATATGGGAGCTATATCTAAATCTGAACCGATTTTCAAGAAACTTTGCACACATCATTCTAGACTATCGGACGAAAAATCTGAACCGATTTTTCCCAATTTCAATAGGGTTCGTCCTTGGGCCAAATAAACGAGCTGAGCCAAATTTCATCCAATTGAAGGCCACAGGTTCCCTTTTATTGAAGGCCACAGGTTCCCTTAAAGAAGACCACAAAATTTTTCATAGAAATAAATATGAAATTTTGATTGTTCTTCTGTAAGTTCGATAAGGTGATTTTATCGAAATGCAGAAGGTCTTATTATAGAAAACAAAAGGCTATTTTTTTATAGAAGAGCCTTTTTATGGAAGTCCAGAAGGCGTTCTTATAGAAAACAAGAAGGCCTTCTTATAGAATATCAGAAGGTCTCCATAAGAAGGCATTCATATAAGAGATATTCTTGAAGAAGTTCTGTAACTTTTAACAAGAAGATAAGGTGGTAAAAGACCAAAAGGATTTCATACCCTTCACCACACTGTGGTACAGGGTATTAAAAACACAAAATATTCTTATATCATTGTGCATATTTTGTAACAGGCAAAAGAATCGCGATAGACCCATGTCCGTTCGTCCATGTATTTTTGTGAGCAAAGTACAGGTCGCATTTATGATCCGAATTGGATGAAATTTGACACATCCCATTGATTTGTTTTTTATAATAAAAAGACATAAGGAAAAATACCGTATTGAAATTGGTAGAAAATACTGTAACTTTTAGACTTATACTGCAACTTGTATACCCTCACCACATATATTATTATGTCTTTGATATGTTTGTAACAGGCAAAAGGAATCGAGATAGCCCATGGTTCCTTTTGAAAATCATTAGATTTTCACGAATTTGTCCGTCCGCATTGATGTTAAATTGTAAACAAATTAAGTCGACAATCCGATGTGTGCTACAGCTCAATTTGGCCTAAGGGAAAATCGGAAAAATCGTTTCAGATTTAGATATAGCTCCCATATATATATATATATATATATATTTGGTAAATGGTGCACCAAAGTCCCTGAAAATCTTTCGATTTGCATTAGGCGAGATTTTGTGCATAGCGTACTGAATTAAGTCTCCCATATATAGACGTGTGCTAGGTTTTGTGAAATTCGGAAAATCTTTCGATTTGCACGATATAGCTCCTATATATAGTGTGTGCTAAGTTTTGTGAAAATCGGTTCAGATTTACCAATAGTCCTTCAAAATCTTTCGATTTGCACGAATTTTGGCATAGCGTACTGAATTGAGTCTAGAAAGATGTGTGCTAAGTTCAGATTTAGATATAGCTCCCATATATAGTTTCGCCCGATTTTAGGTAAAAGGTGCACTAAATATCCATAGCTAGGCCGATTGACATCGTCCAAGTTCATGTCAATTTTCCTTCGAAAAATTGACGTCTTTTAGGATACATATGTTGAATATACCCAAAGTGGTGAAGGGTATCATATAGTCGGCCCAGTCCGACTTTACTACTTTCCTTACTAGTTTTCTTTTGTTATAGTAAAAACAACAAAACAAACAAATGAAATTGTTGCAAAATAAACAATATCGAATGTTGTTAAAATGTTACGGAGTAGACCTACTGGTCTTCTATAAAAAGACTTTCTAGAGTATGGCTTCTAGAAAGAGATATTCTGCTTTTCCATAAGAAAACCATCTAGCCTTTTATAAGAATACCATCCTATAAGAAGACCTTCTGGTCTTCAAAGGAAAGGAGAAGTTGAAAGTGGAGAGATTTTTTTAGAAATGGAAACATTTTAAATAATATCAATTGTGATCTTTACAGAAGGTCATGACACCTTCATGAGTTTTCTTATAGAAACTCAAAAGTTCTTTCCATAGCTAGCCATATTTGGGGACTTTGAAATACAACTACTCCGACCGTCGTGCAAGTTGTCAGTTTACCTTAATCTTAGCTAGTTTTCTTTGTTGTCATTACCTACCGAATTGCCATGATTTTTACTGATTCTGCAAAATATACATATACATATTTATGAAAGACATTGCAAACGTAAACAATTTGCCAATGGCTTGCAATTGAAAAATTCGTTGTATGTATGAGTATGAATGTCAGTGTGCATCTTTATTACTTTTTCAAAATTCAAACAAAACTATACGGAAATATCAAGTCAAAATGAAAAGTCGAACTTAAAGAGTGTTTAACAAGTATCGTATAACTTGTGTCGATTTTAGCGTGCGGCGTCAGAAAAATGTCAAAATCAGAGCGTTACATATAGATTCGAAAGTAGGAAAATATATATTTTCGATCATAGATATCAATCGAAAAGCGTGATAGTTGTTTAAAATGTTACATTCAAGCGAAGAAGTGAAAATTCTAATAAAATGCTTTCTTTCTTCAAATATTTATGTTATATTTCGAATAGTGGAAAATATTTCGATGAAAATGAAACGACATATTTACCATTTAAAAATATTATATGTTCGGACATTTTTAAGTGTGTGCTATGTGGAAAGTCCTATGTGCTATTTACAGAAATTTCTACAAATCGAAAGGCTATACGAATTTGTAATAATGGTAAATGTTAAATAAAAAAATACTTTCACTTTTATAAGATTATAGTGGTACTGAAAAATGTGAAAAATTGGCACAGGGGCGAATTTCAAAACTGCATCCACGAAATATTGATAATTTTCTGCGAAAAATATATAACCCACCAAAAACACCGATTGCCACATCAAAAATAAAGAAAACATAAACTTGACCTTTATATTGGAACCCACATAAACAATTTCCTGGAAGAACCTAAAAAAAATTAATACACGTCGTAGATGGTCAAAATAAAAGCAACAAAAAATTATATGAAATTTGTTATATTTCAAAAAATTATATTCACCTCAATGATATTTCAAAATGAGAGCTAGAAAAATTGTACAGAACAACAGCTCTCCAGGGCTCAATAGATTTTTAGAGAAAATTTTCTCAGGCCTCCAGTGTTCAATAGACTCTATAGGGCTCAATAGATTTCTTTAGAATTTTTCTGAGCCTTTCAGGCAAAATAGATTTCTATAGAAAATTTTCTCAGGCCTCCAGTGTTCAATATACTTCTATAGATTGTTTTCTAAGTTCTCCAAGGCTCAAAATATGTCTATAGAAATATTTCTGAGTCCTTATCCTTCACCACTATGGGTATATTCAATAAATGAATGTCGCGTTTTTGAAGGACCATTAATATGAAAATGGATCCATAAACATTTTATTCTGCAACCTATACTTCTTGTTCTTCTTATTCTTCTTATAATGGGACAAAATTATGTAAATCAATTTAAAGCAAATATCAATACGGGTGTCCGATTGGATAAAAATGAGCAGTTTGGTACACCATTTACTAAAAATCGGACGGAAATATATATGGAAGCTATATCTAAATCTGGGCCGATTTTCAGGAAACTTAACACACATCATTCTAGACCTAATTCAGTACGCTATGTCAAATTTCGTGTAAATGGAAAGATATATGGGGCGGACGATAATATATATGGGAGCTATATCTAAATCTGAACCGATTTTACAGGAAACTTAACACACTTCATTCTAGATCTAATCCAGTACGCTATGCAAAATTTCGTGCAAATCGAAAGATATATACGGGCATTGGTACACCATTTACATTAAATCGGACGATAATATATATGGGAGCTATATCTAAATCTGGACCGATTTTCAGAAAACTTGACACACACCATTCTATACATAATTCAGTACGCTATGCCAAATTTCGTGTAAATCGAATGATATATAGCTGCATTGGTACACCATTTACATTAAATCGGACGAAAATATATATGGGAGCTATATATAAATCTGAAGCGATTTTCAGGAAACTTAATACACATCATTTTAGACCTAATTCATTACGCTATGCCAAATTTCGTGAAAATCGAAAATATATAGGGGCATTGGTACAACATTTACACTAAATCGGACGACAATATATATGGAAGCTATATCTAAATCTGGACCGATTTTCAGGAAATTTGACACACATCATTCTAGACCTAATTCAGTACCCTATGCCAAATTTCGTGTAAATCGAAAAATATATAGGGACATTGGTACACCATTTACATTAAATCGGACGACAATATATATGGGAGCTATATCTAAATCTGAACCGTTTTTCAGGAAATTTGACACACATCATTCTAGACCTAATTCAGTACGCTTTACCAAATTTCCACCATTTACATTAAATCGGACGATAATATACATATGGGAGCTATATCTAAATCTCAAGCGATTTTTTCCAATTTCAATAGGGTTCGTCCTTGGGCCAAATAAGTGATTTGTGCCAAATTTCATCCAATTGGAATCATAAATGCGACCTGTACTTTGTTTAACTCATACTCCAATGTACGCTTACTTATTTTATTATTATTTTCTTTAATTAAAATAATTTTAAAAATTCGTAAAACTAATGAATTGTGAAACTTTTTTCAATTTGTTTCATTTCAGATAGACTAGCTGTGATAATTATTGGTATAATAACATTAATTTTAGGCATTCTCCTAACCACAATACCATGGTTAGATTATTTCATATTAAAGGTAAATATCCAATAAATATAATTCTAGTTTTATTTCCTTGTTACTATTTTAAATATATTTTTGCTTTGCTATCATTACAGAATTTAAGGCTGTGGAACGATACGCTCAGTTATCATTATTGGCAGAGACCAGGGGTCATTCGTCTAACTAAAGTCTACATTTATAATGTCACAAATCCCGAGGGGTTTCTAAGTGGCGAAAAACCAAAGCTACAAGAGGTTGGACCTTTTGTTTATAGGTGAGTGTGTGTGTGTGTGTGCACAAAGTCTAAAAGTAATTAACCGATAGCGTAGTTATGTTTATTATTCTGAATTTGAGTTAAAATAAACTTTATACTAAGTAGGTTCTAGAACTGATCTTCACTGATGTGGAAAATGTAAACGTTTTCTCAACATAAAAAACTGTTTATGATGTCACAATTTATTGTTCTATGAGTTTCATTTTGACAACAAAAACATTTAAATATATGAAAATACAATTTTTAATTATTCGTTATAACTTATTAAAAGAAATTAAGGAGAAACACGTATAAATAATTGCCTTCTATTTAGTTCTGTTTTAAATGGCATTTCTATGAAACTAAAACTTCGTTGTTTTTGTTGTTTTCCACTTTGCTGGCAAAATGGCTGGTCATTAAAGTATGGATTAGGTCCCACATCGCATTGCACTAAAATGTAGTCAATAAATTACCAGAAAACTACACACACACCCCTATCATTATTTAACTAAGTAATCTGCTGTTATAGCACTTCGTAAATCACAATTAGCCAATGCCAGTATTTAGGCCAATTAATTGCTGAATCAGGAATAAATGGGTAAACAATGGACGGACGGTTTGTTGTAATAAAAACAACACTTTCGGAACTTAAACAAAAGGTGAACATTTAGTGCTGATTGTAATATTTATTTAATAATAACTGTTCAATTTCATAGTCTTAATACGTATGCCGGGATAAATAAAAATTAAATCTAAAATCTTAGCCCTCAATCGACCAATTAAAGATGTCTTGGCATTACAGTTCTTGGAAGCTAAACATTTTCGATGGTTTTAAATTGACCCTATATAAAGTTGTCGCTTAATTTTCGCTACATTAAAGTTCCAATCACAGTTTATTTGCACTCCAAATGACAGAAAGTACAAAATGATTGGCCTGGTCGAACTTAAGGTCGTTTTTTTTAGAATTTTTTTTTATCAAACCTAAATGGACTTAAGCCACTTTCAAAATAAACGATTCATATTTGTTTACATTTAAAAAAAAAAGATACCTCTAAATTAGTGATACAGATTTTATTTATTTATATTTCTGTAAAAAAACAAACTAAAGCAGATAATTAATTATTCGGAAACTTTTTTCGCTTTCGTTAATTTCTTGATTCCAACATTATTCTTAGAATACTAATATTCTATGAATAATGTTGGAATCAAGAAATTACAGCAATTCATTTACAACGGAATATTGAATATTTAAGGGGACCCCACCCATTCTCGGTTTCAAAAAATTTAATTATACCCTACACAACTATGTTGTCAGGGTATTATAGCTTTGTGCAGCCCCAAGAGTTTGTAACGCCGCGAAATATTGGTCCTAGACCCACCTTTAAGTATACCGATCGTCATATCTCGACTAGCTGAGTCGATCTAGACATGTGTGTCCGTCCGTCCGTCTGTCCATTATAATTTGTAAACACGATACAGGCCACAGTTATGGACCAATCTTCACGAAATTTTGCATGTAGGATGGGTTCTGGCCAATAAAGACCCCTATTGTTTCTGGTAAAGATTTAATTAATATTTAGGGGGTGAAATGGACCAAAAACTTTATTTTTGTCTGATTTTCTGGTCGCTCCAGAGGACGCAATTATGGCCCAAACATATCGAATTTTTACATGGAGAATGGGGATTGGGCCAAAGAATAACCGTGCCTGTTTTGATAAAGATTGGTCAATATTTAACGTGTCAAATGGACCCTGACCGTATGTACTCAGATGTGGGAGTTACCTTTAAATATTTTCAGGTGCTTACGTATTCAAATATTATTTAGTAACCCATTACCACCCTAGAGGGCGAAAATATAGCGCTGATCGCTTTGAAATTTTCTATGAGTTAAGGACAACGCCTGTAGTTTTCGGTGATGATCAGATAATAAAATTGGGATAAAGTGAACCGAAAACTTAATCTTTTTGGGTTTTTTTGAGTCGATATATAGGCCACAATTGAAATCAAAGCATAACAACACAACCCACGGTGAAGGTCAAGAGAGTGCAAATATTGCCCAAGATCAGAATTAGATTTTCGTGGAAGTTGTGTAGGGTATCGTATGGTCGCCCCCGTCCGACTATACTGCTCCGCTCACTGGTTTTTTTATTTTGTTTTAATTCGAACCTACACTAATTCAAGAATGTCCATATAAGTGAAAATCTCAACAATTTTTGAAAATATAGCCGATTTATTGCATTAGCATCAAGTGACAGCAAGATGGCTTCTCATGTAGCTAAGATAAAGCCACTCGGTGGAGATCTTCCTTATTTTTGAACTTAGTTTGTGGTCAAAAATAGGTGATTTTCCAAAAAACAAAAATTCAAAGTTCCGCCATTTTTTTAATCGTTGTGCGATGTCAATAATCTTAGTTCATACGAGAATCAGATATGTAATCTTTCTAACACCGTTGGAATTTTCGGATTCCGATGTTCCAGCGAGGAGCCAGTAAAAATAAAGACTTTTCTTTGATCACAAAAGACAACAACAAAACAAGAACAAATTTTTTTGTAAATTATTTTTCTTCCTTTTTAAATCTTCAAATATATATCGACGCCTCCGAACCATAGTGTGCTAAGTCGACTTAGCCTGTTTTAGCATGTTTTAGATACTACGGTCCTTAATTTAAATTCTCTGAAATTTTGGTAATCATCGGCCAATCCAAACCAAAGTTATAGGCAAAAATGTACTTAGCATGGCACGTAAGATTTAAGAAACTTCCATACTTTGAGAGCTTCTGCTGAAAAACTCACTTTTCAGACTTAGCATACTATTCTTCGGAGGCGTCGATATGTGCAAAGTTGCAAACCTTAACAAGCATTGGTATTCATTTACCAGCTTATTTAAAATCTTAAAAAAAATCGTGAATGGAGGGGGTTCCCTTAAGAAAAAAAATAATTTTTTATAGTGTGGGGTTTGGTTTCTTGGTTTCTCATGAAATCTGGAAATCCTTGCATTTTAGATAGTTATTTTTTTGCAAAAAAAAGAGGAATATTTTTGTCTAAAATCTTAACTCTTAATTGACCAATTGAAGAGGTCTTTGGCAAAGTTCTCGCTTAATTTTCGCTACATTAAATTTGCGATCACAATTTTTAATGATAAAGCTTCCGATCATTTTACGAGAGAAATATTTGTTTGTAAGAAAGATACCTTCAACTTTACTCTAAATTAGTGATACCGATTTGAATTAATTATATTTCTGTAACAACATACTAAACAGATAAATAATTATTCAGAAACGTATTTCCCTTTCTTAATCCAATTTCTTGATTCCAGCACTATTCGTAGAATACTAAAACCTATTGTAATTACAATTACAGAACTTTTTTTGCATTTGAACGATAAATTATAACATGGCACCGGCAATTCATTTACAACTGAATATTGAATAATTTATAAAGTTAGTAGTTTGTAATTTTATTTCCTCTCCCTATTACTAGCTGCATAAAAATGTTAATTTGTTATCATTACTTAATAACAGTTTCTCGACTTTTTGAATGGCATTTCTAATAGAACTAAGAAATGATTTATAGTAATCATAAGAGATTCAAAATTTTCCAGTGCAATGGAAATTTATTCTCTAACCTCATTGAGATTATATGTGATGCGGTTAAATGCAAAATTTATTTGCAAATTAAATTTACATAGAATGACATATAGTTAATATTCAACGACAAAATGGGTTAAAGGTAACCCGGATTTAGTTAAACAACATTTCAATTAAACGAAAATAAAAAAAAATCACTTGATTAGTCCTTTCCTTACTATTTCCAAATAAGGCATTAAAAATAAAGATACTAGAATATACGTCACACGTCTTCTCCACATTTTTGTTTCTAAATATAAACACCTTTTGGGAAATATCCCCACCAACATCATATATTAATTTTAGCACGTTTTTGTATAATTAATTATCGCAACACAATATTGACAATATTTCCTGTAATAGCCAACCCAATAAGATTAATGTGACAAAAAATATTTACTTTTAAAAACAAAACAAAAGGTGTCAAATAGTCGCCTTAACACCCACAAAACAATTGCGATCTTATAAGAAACAAATTGTTTAGTTTTTGTTGTTTTTGGTTAGCATAATTTAACCACAACAAACCAGAGTACAAATATCTCAAACAAAAAAGCCTCAAAAGACAGACAAATGGCCAAACAAGCAAACACTCGATCCACAACAATAGCAGGGCAGTTAAATAGTAAAACTAAGTTATGAACCACAAACGTTTAAAAGCCACCACCACCACGAGTTTAACTAGAAAACATTTAATGCCCGGCTAGGTATCACATAAAAAAAAAAAACAAAACGAAGTTGTTAACAAACGCTGGGCAATTGGCGCTTGACAGTTTTGTTTGTTTACATGTGCTTTACCTTTGGGGCGCAGCAGCAACAGCAGTACTTCGAGTGATTTAATATGATTTTTATTAAGACATTTAAATAATCACGGACACACTCGCGCTCACTCTCATACATAACTGAGGATGGTGTTGATGATGAACGATGGTTGGTGATGGGCGCATGCGCATATGCTCGCCTTCAACAGATAAATCTACTGACTCATGGCGACACACGCACATACACACTGTGGATATTGCCTTAGTGATTATGGTGATTTACCCGAATGGAGGAAGGATGACAACCTACTGAGTCATAGTGATATATAAATGTTGACAGTTATTGCCATAACGGCATGTGCTTTGCGTTTTACAAAATATTCCAGCATTCATAGTTTTAGTTTTGTAATTGGCTAAAGGATCGTAAACATTTTTTTATTTAATTTTAATTTTTTTTATAAAAATATTATTATTTAGCCATTAAGAAATCCACAGGAGTAGTGTTTTGTTTTTAATCGTGGGCATCAAAAAAAATTACATACTATTGTTAATATGTATGTCGCAGTAATTGTAATTGCTTGCGTCAAAACTATTATTATTTTGACCTTGACATTTATACATAATGTACAACAGTACATAAAAATGTCAGGTGATCAGGCAATATGGCACAATACACCACTTTGGGTATATTGGAAGTAATTTAAAAAATATATATTAGACCATATCCGGGAGCTATATCTGAATCTGATCCAATTTAAGGGGACTCAACTCATTCTCGAATTAAAATTTCGGCAATTTTCAATCGGTCGACAAAAAAACTTTGCATACATGTATTTAAATATTTAAATAAACCAGTGAGCGGAGCAGTATAGTCGGACAGGGCCGACCATACGATACCCTACACAACTACCACGAAAATCACACTTTCGGCGGTTCTATATTCTGAGCCTGGGCAATATTTCGTGATATTTGCACCCTTTTCACAGATTATAGATCAACAACTATTTCTAAGCCTTGCATATTTTCCAAAATGTTTTTTTCTTGGAGAGAATAAAAAGAATAAATAGAATAAAAAATTGGTCACTTTAGGTTTTGGTTGATTTGACCCTCCGAAAATTGACCGATCATCATCTAAAAAGCCGCTCTAAGTATTTGGTCAGATCCCCTTCACCTTGTAAAATATATGATGTTCTGTATATAATAATTGCCTCTAAAGCGACTAGAAAATCTGACAAAATTAAAGTTTTCGGTTCATTGCACCCCCTAAATGAAATCTCAACTTCACCGAAAACTATAAGCGTCGTCCTTGACCATAATCGGAACTTCATGTACAATTTCAAAGCGATCAGCGAGACATTTCCGTCCTCTAATGGAGTAATAGTAATAATATGCACATAGTCACCTTTACTTAATTACGTATAACTCCCGCATCGGAGTACATACAGCCATATAATTGGGTTCAATTTGAAGGTCAACAACTCATCTTGGACATACTATCAACATCTCGAATATATGTCCTTCAGGAGCAAGTATATACGTCCCAGAATAAAAATTTTGTAATTTTTCACACAAAAGTCAGGGTCCATTTGACCCGCTAAATATTGACCGATCTTTATCAAAACAGGTATGCTTATTCTTAGCCCCGATCCCCTTCTCCATGTAAAATTTCACGATGTTCGCGCCGTAATTGCGGCCTCTGGAGCGACCAGAAAAACCGACAAAAAATTAGTATTTGGTCCATTTCATCCCCTAAATATTAACCGATCTTTATCAAAAACAATAGGGGTCTTCATTGGCCAGAACCCATCCTACATGCAAAATTTCGTGAAGATTGGTCCATAACTGTGGCTTGTATCGTGTTTACAAATTATAATGGACAGACGGACGGACGGACGGACGGACACACATGTCTAGATCGACTCAGCTAGTCGAGATATGACGATCGGTATACTTAAAGGTGGGTCTAGGACCAATATTTCGCGGCGTTACAAACTTTTGGGGCTGCACAAAGCTATAATACCCTGACAACATAGTTGTGTAGGGTATAAAAAGAACAAAATACATTGACAAAACTTTGTTGTTGGCTCCATCTTTTCCGAATCCGAATCTCAAAATACGATCGCAATTAGAAAGAGTACATATCTGGCTCCGGTATGAACTATTATTATTGACTTCGCTCGAAATTTTTCAAAACCACACTGTGGTACAGGGTATTATGTCTTTGTGCATATGTTTGTAACATGCAAAAGGAAACGAGATAGACACATGGTTTATTTTGAGAATATGCATAGAAGCACTTTTTAAGTCGATTTATGCATGTCCGTCCTTCTGTCTGCCCATGTCAAATTGTAAACAAAGTACAGGTCGCAGTTATGATTCGAATTGGATGAAATTTGGCACAGGTTACTTATTTGGCCCAAGAACGAACCCTATTGAAATTGGAAAAAATCGCTTAAGATTTAGATATAGCTCCCATATATATTATCGTCCGATTTAATGTAAATGGTGTCCAATGTCCCTATATATCTTTCGATTTACACGAAATTTGGCATAGCGTACTGAATTAGGTCTAGAATGATCTGTGTCAAGGTTCCTGAAAATCGGTCCAGATTTAGATATAGCTCCCATATATATTTTCGTCCGAATTAATGTAAATGGTGTACCAATGCCCGATTTGTACGAAATGTGGCTTAGCGTATTGAATAAGGTCTAGAATGATGTGTGTCAAGTTTCCTGAAAATCGGTCCAGATTTAGATATAGCTCCCATTTATATTTTCGTCCGATTTTATATAAACGGTGTATCAAAGTCCCTATATATCTTTCGATTTGCACGAAATTTGGCATAGCGTAATGAATTAGGTCTAGAATTATGTGTGTTGAGTTTCCCGAAAATCGGCCCAGATTTAGATATAGCTTCCATATATATGTTCATCCGATTTAATCCAAATGGTGTACCAATGTCCCTATATATCTGTCGATTTACACAGAATTTGGCACAGCGTACTGAATTAGGTCTAAAAATCGGTCCAGATTAAGATATATATTTCCGTCCGTCCGAATGGTGTACCAAACTACTCATTTTTATCCAATCGGACACCCGTATTGATATTTGCTTTAAATTGATTTACATAATTTTGTCCCATTATAAGAAGAAGAACAAGAAGTATAGGTTGCAGAATAAAATGTTTATGGATCCATTTTCATATTAATGGTCCTTCAAAAACGCGACATCTGTTAGGATTCATCTATTGAATATACCCAAAGTAGTGAAGGGTATCATATAGTTTGCATCAAGTTCGTTATAACCGAATTAAACTAAATGAAAACTGAGAGTGTAAATAGTTCGTTATGAAAAAAGTTCGCTATATCCGTAATTCACTATAAGAGTAAAAAATTCGTATGAAAAATCAGACCTAAAACTCAGGACCAGGTAATGTGTTCGCGGAACAAGTCTAGTTTAGGGGCTCCACTCGGATCGCTTTGAAATTTTTACCGTAAGTAGTCCTTGTTCAGCTGATTACAGTGATATATATATTTCATGTGGGGGAAATGCGTACTTTCCGAGATATGGGCCTTGAAAGTTCGGAGCATATCTTGATTAAAACGGCAGTTTTACTAATCCCACAAAGGCAATATGGGTATCATTTTAAAGCTTATAAAGAGAACTTTCCCAAAAAAGCATAAACATAGAAAGCCGGGCATGATTTCTCGTGTTTCCAATTTAAGTAGCCGGCTTAAGACTTTCACCTATGGACAAGCGCATACATGGCTACGCAATTCAAATCCTTTTTTAAGAGCAATTTCAGAATCAAATTTATGGTTTTTAAGTAGGCGGCCTTCGGCCGGGGCTTAAGACTTTCACCTATGGACAGGCGCATATATGGCTGCGTAGCCATGTATGCGCCTTTTTTAGATCAATTTTTTAGAGCTATCCTTTTTCAAGAGCAATTTCCGAATCAAATTTATGGTTTTTAAGTAGCCGACATTTGGCCGGGGGTTAAGACTTTCACCTATGGACAGGTGCATACATGGCTACGCAATCCAAATCCTTTTTAAGAGTAATTTCAGAATCAAAATTATGGTTTTTAAGTAGACTTTCACCTATGGACAGGCGCATACATATAGATTCTATTGATATATTCTTTATTTAGTTTTAAAGCACTATCCAAATCCTTTTAAAATGATACCCATATTGCTTTGGTGGCATTAGTAAAACTGCCGTTTTAACCAAGATATGCTCCGAATGCTCAAGGCCCATATCGCGGGAAGTATGCATTTCCCCCACATAAAATATATATATATATCACTGTAATCAGCTCAACGAGGACTACTAACGGTAGTCCGGTCAAAGCGATCCAAGTGGGGCCCCTAAACTAGACTTAAGCCAAAAAAAGGTAAACTTGTTATTAGAATTTCGAGGCTTTTTTACTGAATTGGTGCGAAGTGGGTTACACAGATTGCAACTGACCACATTTTTTCTATATCACATTTCGCTATCGTCCATTTTACTTTTGTCAAGAATTTAACCTTAAAACTTCCCTTCAATAGTACTTGTGTATACAAAATATTAAAATTTTTATCAAAAATATTATGCACATATCAAGGTTCGTTACAAAAAAAAGAAGAAAAAAACGTTTACATGACCCTACCAACAAATGTAAATGGATTCCGGCCATTCCAACAATAAGTACCTCAATTGCTAGATTTAACACCAACAATACGACTTGTTTCAAATGGAAACGAAAAATATTAAAATCCCGCCTCGGTCTTGTTGCTACGAATCAAGAGCTGAAATAATTAAAACATAAACATCTGGATACGTAATGGCCTTTAAATGAATTTTTTATTTAATTTTTATTTTTTTGTTTAAATGAACTTGACATTCGTACGCGCTGATGTGTTGTATGTTAAGCTTTATATCGAAAAGGCGGTTATATTGCGTTTGTCATTAGGTTTGTAGTGCAATTCGAATTTTTTTTATTGTTGGGGTCGAAACCCCCCCAACATTTGGCATGAATTAGATAATTTTGATAAATATACATTTCGTATTCATGAGGCATCCCGGAAGAGAAGTCACATCTTACTTCCATATGGTAGGGAGTATATCAATGTCGACCTGCTGCCATGCTTTACTTAAGCAATTATCTTAGCTTATCACGATTTTTTATTTTTCTTTGACATTACAAAATAGCATCATAAAGGGTTTTACATACCATCATGTCACAAACTGGCATTTATATTTATTTTTAGAAACATTTCAGTTTTCGATTTAAATTAATATGTTGTTGTTTTTATTTCAAGAAACAAAATAGAAAATGTTATTTTTAGTTTTACTGAAAATTTTAATAATAATATAATTATACAATTTTTTTATTTTTCAGGGAAGACATGCAAAAGGTGAACGTTAAGTTTCACGACAATTTCACAGTGTCATATCAGCACAAAAAAATCTTAGAATTTGTTCCTGAATTAAGTATTGACAAGAATACACCAATTGTCACACCTAACATACCTCTACTGGTAAGTAACCCATCGACGAATGAACACACCCACATAGCCGCGAAATGAGTTGCAGGTTATTTGTCTTTTCGTCATATGTCGAATGACGTGTAGGGCCGAACAGTCATTGAATTAAGTAAAATAGGCGTAGTTGTCTCGTATTTATCATCCTAAAAATCATCTCAATCATCATTTGAGTGTGTTGACAGGTATTTGACAGCGACAAGGCTGAACTGAAATGATGTTTTTATTTAATTTGAGAAGTTTTATTAATGGGACATAAAAACAATATTAGCACACTTTCAAAAAAAAAAAAACTATAAATCTTAAATGACCTTATAGTAATGATGTTGTTTCTGTAGTTAATTTTTTGTAGATTGATAGCTTGTCATTAATTTATTAGAATTATTCAATAAGTTGAAAAAAATAACAATTACATACTAATAGGAAAATAAATCAGAAGACATCGATTTTTTTGATATTAAAAATTTTAAATTTTAAAAAATTTAAAATTTCAGTATCATACATTATAAGAAATAATGAAAAGTTTACAAAAATAAACAGTTAAGAAAAAATCGAGAATAGTTTTTTGGATATAAAAGTGTGGGCAAATCTGCAAAATTTTCCCTATATCCTAAATATTCGAAATCCTCTTTTTTCCAGACATTAACCAGCTTAAGTCCCAAATTGGGTTACGTATTATCGAAAACAATATCTGTCATATTGACGGCTGCCAAATTTAAACCATTTATTAATGTAACAGCTGAACAACTGGTGTTCGGCTATGATGATCCGCTGGTAACGCTGGCACACAAATTCTATCCGAAACATTTGAGACCTGGCGAACGAATGGGATTATTAATTGCAGTAAGTAATTGCATTTGTTTTCATTATAAATAAAACTAATTATATTTACCTTGTAGCGCAACGGTACCTTATCAGAAGTGTCCTCGATTAAGACTGGTTACTTGGGTATGCAGGATTTCGGTTATATTGATCGTCTAAATGGTAACGATCATTTTCCCCAATGGGACGAAGAACCATGCACCCGAATTGCCGGTTCGGAGGGTTCTTTCTTCCCACCACGAGATCTAACAAAATCGGATATGGTTTATGTCTACGATAAGGATTTGTGCCGTGTCATACCATTGAAATATGAGAAGTCAGTTGAAAAGGATGGTAAGTTGGCGGAAAAAATAAAATATCAATATTTTTAAGAACTATCAATTACATGACTTTTAGATAATCGTCGATGAAAGAAGTATTGGAGACTATCCGACAGTCGTGGCTCTAACATGGCTTTTTAAAAACAAATTTTAGGTCTACCGGACTATCAAGGGTCTGATTTGAATTTAATGATTATTCAGCAACATTTCAAAACAGGAATTCGTAAAAAAACAAATTAAAAAAATACCTTAAACAAAATTTTAAATTTTTTGAGAATATATTTTTTATTTACCAGGTATCTGTAATGCTAAATTACAGCCTCTTAGGTAGAAAAATGTGCCTAAAGCTATAAACTTAAAAAAATTGGCCTGCATCATTATCGAAATGACATATTATTTCCACTTCGGTGAGAAAACCGGAATTAGACCCCATATAGCTTCGAGGTGGCTTGCGACGAAATTTCCATTAACGAATTGGAAATGTCCTCAGAAAAGGTATTCGCCTCCTTACAGGATGGTCTCGTCTTGAAATAATTTACGAACTAAAATAGTTTTGATTTCGTCCAGTGACGCTCAAAAGGAACATTAAAAAAGGAAGATCCAAAGGACTTCTAATTCGAAGATTAGGGGGTTTTCTTATTAGAAGATCAGGAACTCTTCTTATTAGAATACCAAGAAGTATTCTTAATAGAAAAATAAGAGTTAAGATTAGAAGAACAAGAGGTCTTGTTATTTGAAGACCAATTGATCTTTATGTTACAATACCAATTTGACAAGGCTAATATGTCCTCCAATAAGAAGACCATTAAGTATTCTTATTAGTGGAACAATGGATTTTCTTATTAGGCGACCAATAGGTCTTCTCGGACGACGAATACGTTTTCTTTAAAGAATACCAAGGGACCTTCTTATTAAAATATAAAGAGGTGTACTTATTAGAATTTCTTTTTAGAATGTCAAGAAGTCTTTTTCAACATAAGACTAAGAGATCTAATTAGAAGACCAATTTGTCTTTATGTTAGGAGACTTCTTATTAAAATGTCTTGTTAGAAGACCAATTTATTAAAAGGCCAATAAGATGTCCATTGGGTGTTCTTATTAGAGGAACAATGGGGTTTCTTATTAGGCGACAAATAGGTCTTCACGGAGGACGAATATGTCTTCTTTCAAGTATACCAAGGAACCGTCTTATTAAAATATAAAGAGGCCAACTTATTAAAACTTCTTATCTGAAAACCAAAATATCTTCCAATTAGAAGATTAATATACGAAAAATAGCTTATTACTGGAGGCCAGGATGAGTTCTTATTGGAAAACCCATAAATATTCTTATTAGAAGACCAATATAACTTCGTATTAGAACCACATAAGACCATCCATTTAGAATCCCAATAAGAAGATCAGAATATCAGAGGTAAGTAGAAGACCTCTTAGTCCTCCAATTAGAAAGCCAAGATGACCTTTAAATCAAATCTTATGATTAAAGCTATCTACATACCGCTCGGATTTCTTAGATATCCAATGATGGGTAGCCTAAGTTTGAAAGTTTCTGCAGCCGTCTTCAGATCGCGTACAATATCATTGCTATAAAGTGTCCTGGAAAGCTGACTTACATATATACAGAAAATTATCAATATAGGTCAATGTATTGACATAGCCTCCATATAAGGGTAGAGTCTCATTGTCAGAATTTTGAAGGTTTTAGCCACATATTCCCTATGTAAGGACAGTAATTTGGCATTCCAGGATATTGGAGGGTAAAACACATTTTTGGATTTTTTTCTATATAGGTTCAAGTTTTATTATAGCCCTCACATAAAGGTATTATTAGGTTCCAACCGAAATCGGATTCTTGCTGAATAGAGTATAAAATTTTCAGCCCGGACGAACTTAATTAATTATGTTTTTAATTGCTTGATGCTATAATCGTAGATTTTTTTTAAAAATGTATTTTTTATGTTCTTTTATATCTATATTTATTTTCCCAGGTTTAAATGCTGATTTATATAAATTACCCGAAAACAGTTATGGAGATGCGGAGAGTAATCCCGAAAATAAATGTTATGATACCAAAGACTATAATGCCTTGAAGGGTTTACAAAATATTAGTCCTTGCCAGTATGGTGCTCCCGTCTATCTATCGAATCCACATTTCTATCAGGCGGACCCACAATTATTGGAGACTGTAGAAGGTTTGTCACCAAATCCCGATGAGCATGAAACTTATTTTAAAATACAACCGGTATGAAACAACTTTTTTGATGTTATATAATTTGTAAAATATTAATTTGTTATTGTTGTTTGTATTTTCTTACAGAAACTCGGTGTACCCTTGGAGGGTAAAGTTCGCATCCAATTGAATCTGAGAGTTACCCAGGCGAAACACATTTTCCCCGTCAAGGATTTTCGCAGTTTTATGTTTCCCGTTATGTGGCTGGAGGAGGGAATTTCTGATCTGACACCACCGATACGACGATGGATTTATTTGGCCACCGTTTTCGCACCAACCGTTATACCCATTGGCTCGTATCTGATGATAGCTGGTGGGGCAATTGCCATAATTTATGTGTTCCTGCGTGCCTATCAGAATTATGTGTTTGCCCATGATCCGACCTTGGAAATATTGGAGATGGGCAGACGTTCATTAAGACGTAGCAGTACATTTATAGCTCATCATCAACATCGCTTTATGCATCGCGAATCATATACCCTGCTCAGGGCGACATCGACAAATAGCAGCAATACAAATAATGCCAGCACAGAACATAGTGGTGGGGTTGGTTGTAATAGTAATAATAGGAGGGGGAGTCGGGTGGATATTTCCGCTGAACCAACAACAGACAATGAAGTGCTCATTTTAACGACCAATAGCAGCGATTCTAGTTCATAGTAGATAGAATGGTTAGAGAATTAGGAAAACGAGAAAACAGAAATCAAAAGACATTCGTTTAAATGTATATTTATGATTTGGGTATTTATGGACCTAAATCAGAAAGAACAATGTACATATGTATAACTGAAATATGTTAGTTTATCTAGTTAAGAACAATTTTTTGTGCACGTAGGAGCAGACAACAGCAATTAATTGTGATGTAATTTTTAAAAAATGACAATATTTTTAGTGTTAAAGAACTTCTTTTTAACAAAGTCTTAGTTTAAGGCAGTAATCCTGTTAGCACGATATGATAGAAAGTTTGTGTGTACGTGGATGTTTGCATGTGTGAGTATTTGCGTGTCTGTCATAGAGATTACATGAATCTCAGCATCGTAAAAAATCAAATCAACCACTTAGAGTTCAAAAGTGGCAAGTCCACTTTTTACGTATTTTGTAATAATTGCAAATAGATGTAAAAACTGGACTTGGCACTTTCGAATTTTACACTCAAGATATTTGTTAAATATTTTTTATTAATCTTTTAAATATAGATATTATAAATATTTTCTATTTTTTTATAATTTAATTTTGTCTAGTAAATATCTGCTAAGCTTTTTTGATACGTTTTGTACTCACTAGAAGTATTCCATTAGGTTAGGTTAAATATTGTTGTTATTATTATATATGTAGTCTTGAAATTTATCCATTTTCATGCCAAAAACACAAAGAAACTAGGTAAGAAAGTATGTATGAAGAAAACGCAGAAGAAAACAAAGACACATTGTCATAAATCCATCCACCTTTCCATTCATAATTTTGTAAAAAACTACACAAACAAATATAACTCAGCCAAATCAATTCCACTCTCATTGTTAAGTCCATCCATTTTCTTTCAATCATCTAATTTACAAATACAAAACTGTTCACAAATCTTTACAACTGTGGTTACAAAACAAAACGGGTTTATATATTTTTATTAGAGTAAAGAATTTGAATTTTTTACACAAATAAATATCGTTGTTATTTTTGTTAAAAAAAAAATGCATTTTTGTTTGAGTGTGTAAGGTATACTAAATGATCCATTGATCCTTAAGGGGCATATGTCTATGTATATGACTTGAAATATATATAACAATTCCAGAATTGATTTTATAAGTATAAGGTTTGTATAAATATTTTAAGTGGTTTCAGATGATCCATAAGGTATACTTTATAATACATGTGCCACACCATTTGGAACACCTGGAATGATTCGCCGGAGACCCTATAAAGTATTCATACTGTTAATAAGAATAAAATTGTATGTCGATTTAACCATATCCGTCTGTTGAATTCACTATACAGATTGCAATATTTAAGAAAGAGCCCTGAAATTTTGCACAGCCATTGTTAGTACTTCAGCCCCCACATATAACAGTACATCCCCATATTTAGGATTTTGGAGAACGTTTTTCAACCGAATATGCTGTAATTTGGTATCTCACTGTATAGTAAATCTCCCTACCAAAAATTATTAATATTGACCATTCCATATAACGAACCCTTTATTCCATATTTTGGAATGTGAGGCACGTTATTCAACCGAAATGGCAAATCTGTATTTTGGCGAGTAGGGGTAAATTTTTCATCCAAATTTTCTGTAATATTATATTTTAGATGCTCATTGGATGTCAAATTTCACTACAATCAAGTAAAACCAGTAAGGAAAGTAGTTAAGTCGGACTGAACCCACTATATGATACCCTTCACCAATTTGGGGATATTCTACATATGGATCCTAACAGACGTCGCCTTTTCTAAGGAACATTGACATGAAATTGAAAGAAATTAAATATGGGATCTTTATCTATAAGTAAACCGACTAACATAAATTCCAACACATGCCATTCTGCAATCTATTCTAAATTTTGTAAATAGGTTTAAAGCACACGCACTGTTTCAAATGTACCCATTGATTATTTGGTGTACAGTCAACATGAATATATCGAAATAATATATGGAAGCTAATCTGAACCGATTTCAAGTATGGTCGGACCGGGCCGACCATATGATATCCTACACAACTACCACGAAAAGCAAACATTCTGCGGTTCTATATTCTGAGCCTGGGCAATATTTCGTGATATTTGCACCCTTTTTGCCGATTATAGGTTAAATACTTCACTTTCTAATCCTAGCATATTTTCCAAAATGTCTTTTCTTGAAGTGAATTTTGACGCCATAAAATAACAAATTGGTCTCTTTAGGTTTTTGTTAATTTGACCCTCGGAATATTGACCGATCATCATGTAAACAGCCGCTCTAAGTATTTGGTCAGATCCCCTTCACCATGTAAAATATGTGATGTTCTGCTATAATAATTGCATCTAGAGCGACTAGAAAATCTGACAAAATTAAAGTTTTCTGTTCATTGCACCCCCTGAATGAAATCTTAACTTCACCGAAAACTATAGGCGTCGTCCTTGACCATAATCGGAACTTCATGTACAATTTCAAAGCGGTCAGCGCGACATTTCCGTCCTCTAATGCAGTAACGGATAACTCCCACATCAGAGTACATACAGCCATATAATTGGTATTAATTTGAAGGTCAAAAACTCCTTCTCGGGTATATGTTCTCCAGGCGCAAGTATAAATGCCCCAGAATAAAGATTTTGTATTTTTTCACACAAAAGTCAGGGTCCATTTGACCCGCTAAATATTGACCGATTCTTCATGCAAAAATTCGACAAAAATAAAGTTTTTGGTCCATTTCATCCCCTAAATATTAATCGATCTTTTCCAAAAACAATAGGGGTCTTCATTGACCAGAACCTATCCTACATGCAAAATTTCGTGAAGATTGGTCTATAACTATGGCCTGTATCGTGTTTACATATTATAATGGACAGACGGACGGACGGACACACATGTCTAGATCGACTCAGCTAGTCTAGATATGACGATCGGTATACTTAAAGGTGGGTCTAGGTCTAGGATCCATATTTCGCGGCGTTAAAAAATTTTGGGGCTGGACAATGCTATAATACCCTGACAACATAGTTGTGTAGGGTATAAATATTGAAAATATTGACCCTCTGTGGGGGAGGTACCAGAATCAGTGGACTAATGGGTCCCATCTTCTTACTACACCTTTTTCACATGTTATTCAAAACATATCAAATGTAATTCGAGAATTCCATTTGTAATTCACAACATATAATTTGCAATTCGAGAATTCCATTTGCAATTCACAACATATCAGCTGTAATTCGAGAATTTTATTTGTAATTCCTAGAATACCGTTCGGAATTCATAGAATTCCATTTGAAATTCATAAACTTCCATTTGAAATTCCAAATATGTGCATTTGAAATTCATAAAATTCCACTTGAAATTAATAAAATTCCATTTGAAATTCTTAACAATTGATTTGAAATACATAACATTCCATTTGTTTTTCATAACATTCAATTTTAAATTCAAAAAATATTATTGGTAACACACAAGGAATATGTATGAATTTGAAATGAATTGTTATGAATTACAACTGAAAATTTATGAATTACAAGAGAAATGTTATGAATTTCAAATTGGATTCTGTGAATTTCAAATGGATTTTTTTGAATTTCAAATGAAACTCTACGAAATTCAAATTGAAATATTCGAATTACGAATGAAATTTTTTAAATTTCATACGAAAAGTTTAAAATTACAAATGAAATGTTGTGAATTACAAATTACATACTAGAATTACAAGTGAAATGTTATGAATTGCAAATTGAGTTTTCGAATTACAAATGAAATTCTGAAATTGCAATTGAAATGTTTTGAATAACATTTGAAAAAGGTGTAGATCTAGGCTTGGTAAAGATAATAGGTTGTACAAAGTTTCGTTAAAATGGGATAGTCCATTTGCATTTTATTATAAAATTTATTTTTAGCACAATTTTGACCATTTTGTGGAGGAGTTACGAGAAGGAGTGGACCTATATTCCCCATCTTCGAACTTAAACTAAGTTCAGAAGAAGTATTAAGATGTACAAAGTTTGGATGAAATCGATTATTCCCTTCGAGAGTTATCGTGCGCACCACGTACGTAACCCCGCTAGCGGTAGTTTGATATGTTCTTTTCTCCTGAAAGCCCTAATCGATTTCACCTTCATTGTGTAGAGTATAAAAAGGCAGGTATTATGAACGTCAACCACCATAAATTGGTATTTTCATCATCCTAGGCACATATTCAGGCGATGTGGCTGTAATTCAGTGTTCAAGGTTCCTGAGGCGTAAAAAGGTCTTCGTAAAAATGTGTCAACTAAGTTCTACGTTCATAGTTTGTATATTGTATTTCTGAAATTTCTAAATTGCAGACACTCAGATTGCCTGCCATTTGGTAATTCGTTCGCTCAGAGAATAAAATTCCCCCCGTCAAAAATGTCGGACCTTTTTATACCCTTCACTACATTGTCGTACAGGGTATTATATATTGGTGCATGTGAAGTTTTGTTCAAATCGGTTCAGATTAAGATATAGCTCTCATATATAGTTTCGTCAGATTTTATGTGAATCATGCACAAACAACCAGACAACATTTTGCACAGCGTATTGAGTTTAGTGATGTGTATTAAGTTTTATAAAAATATGTAATCTGATTTTATGTAAATTGTGTACCGAAGAGCATACTTTTGTTACATATACACGAAATTTGGCAGAGGGTATGGAACTTATTCTAGAATGTTCTATGTTAAGGTTTGTTGTAATCGGTTTAGATTTAGATATAGCTCCCATATAGATTTCCGTGCGATTTTATACAAATGATCCACCGAGGAACCTGTTTTTTCACCTAACGTATTAGATTGAAATCGGTTCAGATTTACACATAGCTTCCATTTATTTCCATCCGATTTCATTTTAAACAAAACTAAAGTTTGTCCCTTAGGGACGAATTTGAGCACAACGTACCAAATGTCTAAATATTATTTCGTCCGATTCCATTTTAATGGTGCTCCAAAGATTTTATGTCTTTCTACAGGATA